TCCTGTGACACCACCCGTTGATGAGGCACACAACGCTGATCAATTAACGATCCATCAGTTTGTAAGGATGGATAATGCTTCCTTTTGTGTGAACCCAACGCAAGACATTAATAATTGTGACAATTCCACACATTATCTATTAATCAAAATGAGTTTTGTTAAAGCTCCCAATATGACAAAAGTGGGGGAATTAATGATGCACTTGTGACCGATGACCGACGAATAGGTCTTTTTGCTGCTGCTGAGAAGGACGAAAAAAACTAAAGAAACTGAAAACGAAAACAAGAATGAAAACAACAAATCATCAATTGACAAATCGATGGGCATCACTAAAAACTCATTATTCCAATAACATGAGGATGAGGATGAGGATGAGGTTGAAGATGAGACTGAGACGAAGACCAAGGCTCATCTCCTTTCTGATTGTGTGTGTGTGTGTCTGCTGTGCGCTGCCCTGCTGGCATCTCCTGAAAACAGCATTCAACGCAACCATCATCGGACTGACTTCTCTGTTGTCCATCCTCCTCGGTCCATCGTCCATCCAGTCTCCCATCGTCGTCTCCTTGGACAACGCCCCCGCCCCACCTGACATTGCCTGACGTTGACGTTCACGTTAAAGTCAACGTTAGCGCTGGGGTTTCAAAATCGTCGCATTCGTCATCGTCATATCAGCCGCTCATCTTGTACTTGAGTGCGAGAACAGTGGTCATTATCTGTTCAGATTCTGTTGCCCTTGGAGAGTAAGAGGGAGAGGAGTCAGCGAAGAGGAAAGGAATTGGGACAGGCACTGATGCAGTTAAAAAAAAAGAGTTCAATATAGATACACTCAGATTTAAGATCATAAAAAGTTGTAGGATTCTCACAAAGTTTAATTAAAGACAATAATTAATATTAAATAAATAAGATGGAAAAAAGCATACATTATGAATAATGCAATTTTGGATAAACAAGAAAGCAAGCTACCTTCAAAAAGTCGAAGTTTGCATACCCTTGCAGGAGCATTGGTTTAAATATGAAATATAACATAAGTCGGCCAAAGATATATTTTTGGGGTCGAAGGGCAATCACTAGGCTATCACTCCCACTATCACTACAGATGTTAACAGCGTCCTTCCCGCGCACCGAATGAGGCCAGAGCCACGGCTGTGCCTGTATTTATAGTCTCCGAGTAAAGAGAACAGAGAAAGTGAGAGCGAGAGAGAAAGAAATGAGAGAGAGAGAGATAGAGAGCAAGAGGTATCTCTAGAGAGACACAGAGAGAGATGGACACACGGAAAAAGAAAGAGATAAAGAGAGAAAACGATCATTTTTATGATAGCTATATGAAATATTCGTCAGATATTAATAAAAATCAAATGGAAATATATAAAATTATATGAAAATAGAAAATTTATAATTGGTTCTCTTTAAAATTTTCCCATCGTTCAACTGATGATGCTGATCAAGAATATACATAATTTATAGATTCAAAAATGACTCTTTCACTGCGTTGCAAACTTCTGACTGAAATTATAATGCCCTGCAAGGGTATAAAAAAGTCACCTTATTTAACTTATTTCAAAGTATAGAACAATAAATATATTTACATACATATTTATTATAAAATATCTTTTTTTGTTGAGTGCATTCGTAAACAACAACAGCGGTAAGAAACAATTTTGCTGCTCACTGCAATCATTGCCAGGATCAGGCTCAAAGCCAAGAGCCAAGAGCGTGGAGCCAAGGAGCGGGCCGAAATCCACTTTGCCTCATTCGTAATTTACCAGGTTAATGGCAACGGAGGGAGGCCAAAACTGAAACCGAAACAAGCTGAAGGCGACAGCTTCGTCCAAAACGATGGCGATGGCGAAACATACAAACACACACAGATACACACCACACACAAAAAACAATGCAAAATGCCGGGAATAAAAATAAAAGCAGAAACTGGTGGTGAACTGAGGACTGGAGGAGAAAATAAAGGAGCAAGGAGCACACCTGACTAGACCGAACAATGGCTCCCATTCCATCCCATCCCATCTCATCTCATCTCGTCGCAGTTCATCCCATCATCTCATCTGGATCCAAGTCGCTGTGACTTCATCGCCAACTGCGACAGCGACTGCGAAATGCATTTCGATCTTGAGACACTTGGAGAAATTGGGGTGTATATATTAGAATTAGTTGAGTTTTTAGCAAAGGGATTTGGTATTATAAATTTCTAAAAATTGAAAGTTGAAAAGAACCTTTGCTACAACTTATTTTAGTATACAAACTTTTCTTTCGTTTTTTTTACCAGTTAGTAACTATGATCACTAAATAACTATGATCAGTAATTAACTTTGAACAATAGTAAACAATGACTTGCAACTTTCGTAACACAACACATGTCTGAGACCAGGCCGGCAGCAGTCACTTCGTTCCGGGGATGTTAGAACCAGTTGGGAATCATATGCACGGATGTGCGAGATTTGTTTTGAAACAAATTTAAGAGCAAACTACGAAACTATGGAGTTATTCTTCTATATAATTTTACTAGTATATAAATCGGGACATGGCGAATCGGTGGACTATGTATATATATACATATATATAGCTGCTATAGGAACGATCGGAAAATTTAAAGAGAAATTAATTATAACTTTTCAAGTTTTCAACAGATTTTCATCAAATTTGATATATAGCCATAATATATTAATTAGCATTTTTTGTGTAAAATTTTATGCAAATCGGATGACTATATCATATAGCTGCCATACAAACGATTGTTAAAAAAATAGAGCAAAACGGTTGATTTTTTAGCTTAATAATAATTAGCATAGGAACGTTCTCCAAATTGAATTTAATGCATTTTTGACGTAGTTATGATCGATTTTTACTGCAAGGATGACTTTTTTTTAGCTCCCAAGATAATCTCAAAGTAAAAACATTTCCATCAACTTTCAACTTCTTTTTGCATAAAGTAATAATTTAACAAAAAAAAAACAAAATAAATGGAATCCAAGAATGGGCGTATTTTTCAGCAAATGGAATAACGAGATGTGAGTAACGAGTTGTTATGATTTTTTGCTGTGTGAGTCCGTCCACTGACCGTTGTCCGGCGACCAACTGCCAACCTTTTGGCCCGACTGCCTGTCCATCCATCTATCCATCGAGGGAGAAACACTCGCACACTCACACACACACAGCTCCAGAGAGAGGCATATATACTACATACATATATTATTCCAATTCTGATGGTCATCATCTTTATCATTAACTTTTTGCTATCGAAGATTATGGCCGTGTCGGGGTTGCCGTTGCCGTGGCTTTTTGGTATTGGTATTGGTATTGGTATTGGTGACGTTGCCAACTTCGAGTTCAAGTCCAAGTTGGCCACGAAGTTGGAGTTGGAGTTGGAGTCGGAGACCCATGGTGTCCATGTGAGCGACAATGGCGCAGAGTGAATTAAAAATACAGAAATGAAAATAAATCATCATCAGAGACGCATGTCAAATTCTCCTCTTGACTGCGTGTGCTGGACTGGGCCACAGAGATTGGAACTGAGAAGGAGGACTGAGAACTGGGACTGGGACTGAGATTGGGCTTGGGAGTAGGGGTATGTTAGGTTGAGATTTTGAGGCAAAGGCGACAGCAAAGACATCGAACCGGACATGGTTGTTGAGCAATGTCATTGCAAATGTAACATGTGATGAAAATAATTAAGACTGGAATAAGGGACAAGGGACACGGCACATGTGACCTTGATTGTTTTTTCTTTCGAGCTAATTGATTCGAGAATATGTTTATTATACAGAATCGTTGAAGTTTGTTATATAATTTGTGATATAAATAATACACAACGAGAAAGGAATCTAACTCGAGAAGTTTACATAGGAAAGAATCAAAAATCTATCTTACAAAAGCTTAAAATATAAGTATTTAAATCAATACATTTCCATATTTTGTATGAATATTTTATATACCCTAGAAGTTTGCAATTGAATTATAGAATTATATTTGTAATCAATCATAACAAAGCTTAAAATATTTGCATGCTTTGCATCAATATTTATCGATATTTTTATATGACAATTTTTCGATAGTTTAAAAAATTCATAACTCAGCCAAAAAAGCATTAATTTTAATTCGGAAACCTTTTCTATGTTAGTTTTTATTATGTTAATAAATCTGCATACTCACTTTAAAATTTAAAAAAATTAAAAATTTATCGAATTTTTAACGATGAAACAAAAAAAAATTAAACATTTTTGGAAAAAAAAAATTTCTTATCGGAAATGGCTAGAAAGATTCTCCTTTTGATGCTGATGAAGAATATATATGATTTATAGGATCGGAAATGACTCCTTCATAGCTTTACAAGCTTTTGACCTAAATTATAATACTTTAAAAGGGTATAAAATATGTATATAAATCTCCAAAAGTTAATTCAAATTGGTAATACAGATCTTAAAACTAAATGTGTTTGTTAAACACGGTCTATAGTTTTCGATCTCCTTCTTAAACAAGCTTTACCTATAGATTATTTTTTCTATAAACACTAAGAAAGATTTAGATTTTCCCTAAGCCAAGTATCTTTAAACTATTGAGGATGTATTTCCTTACAGAATACTGCAAGTATGTAACATGTATCTCCAATATTGAGTGTTCTCTAAATATCTGGGAGTAGCTCATCCTCGATTCAGTTAAGAAGCCCAAACTAACACGCACATAGCCCCTATTTTAAGACAAAACAACCAAAAAAAAACAAAATCAGATTCAGAATCGCATCGCGTTGGGGAGGATCGTTGAGGCAAGAAGATGAAAGACACAAAATAAAAAAAAGAGAAAAGAGTAAGTGCTCAGGTAACCAATGGATTGGTTCAAGTTAGTGATTGCACAGTTTAATAGCCGCATTATTACTACAGCCAAAGAGAGCCGTGCCAAGACCATAAAAGAATGAACTCTCAGGCAAACCCACGAGCAGCGGCGAGCCTCCACAGTACCCACAACCTTCGTATGAAGCATCCCATGTACCCCAGCATTGAAGCATCCCATTGCATTGCTGCATCCCATGTATCCCAGCATCCAGGCACCGTTCGAGTTCCAGTTATGGCCACAGTGCGCCAAGTGCAACTGCAGCTTGCAGCTTGCAGCTCGGGCGCAGCATTAATGCTTTCCAAGTTAATGAATATTGTGTTTCATAGCCTGCCACAGAAGGCTGAAGTAGTCTTTTACAGCTTCCGACTGGAATCCGTTTTGCCCACTGAAAATAAGCCGATAGAGCTCAGCGCGAAGACAATGCACTGAGAGAAAAGCGTCAAAACAAAGCGAAAGTTAAAAATCAATTTAAATTTTGTCTGAAAGCATCCTTCAAAATGTTATGACTTTCCTAAGACAGCTTTAATTTTTCACGTCTTATATTTCTAACACATATTTTGAAACCCACATAAAATCCATTTATCAATTTGTAGGCTAAGTTAGAAGTAATATAGAGCGCTATATTTTTTCTCAATATATAAAAAGGGTATTGCTTCTGTCTGCACACCTATTTGCCTCTAAATTAAAATAGTTTCAATATTTTTCTATATAATTCCCATTACCCGACTTTTCTCCCTGTGTAACGATGAAGCTTTGGCAGCGCTTTGGATTCGGGCTTACCAATAAGCCGCTGCTCCTGCTGCTGCTGCTGCCTCGGAAGGTCGTGCCCGCCATCAACAGATCACCACGACACACTCCGCCGAAGCGCCGCCGTCGCATCGCCATCTCCATTTCCAACTCCTCCTGCTCCCCACTCCGGCTTCATCTTCTGCTCCTCCACATCCCCATCATCATCGCATCGACATCGATGCATAGCCATGGCCATGTGCACATGGAGCTGGCAGCGAGCAAGTGTAGGCGTAATTGTTTTATGTTGCTCGCTTCGCTACGCAGACTGTTTTTTGGGGCCTCGATGGCGGCTTGGAGCATGGATGCATCGCGAGTCTGGGAGGGAATGTGGTGGAGCAAGGGATTGTATCGGATTGAGGAGCAGTCGAAAGTGCACTCGGAAAAAGGGATTCTATCATATCATAATAACATTATTTATAGAACTTCAGAAAATTCTTATAAAAATGAGAGTATTAGGTGATTAAAAGAAATGTTTCAATATCGAAAAATAAGAATTAATTATATGGATTATATTCAGAAAATATAATTCATTATATAGCATATTTATACATCACAACAAAGTGCAAGAAAATCTCCTAATAATCTTAATGCAAAATTTTTAAATATTAATCACCGATTATCCCTAGATTGGAGATTGGTGTTTTTTCCCCCTTTTTTTTGATTGTGTGGCACCTCAACTGAGACTGGCTGTTTGCCAGTTAGCGTCGTTGTTCCAGGAGCAACATGCCTTTTAAATTGGCCGACTGCCCCGCCCACCTGCCTGGCATCCTAGCCGCCACCTCCTCCTCCTCCATCCACTCCCATGGATCCCATGCCGTAAATGGTAGCACTTGAGCCCCAGCCCAGCAGCCGCCCTTACCCCCCCTGACCCCCCTGCAATGAGCGCATTTTCAATTTTATGCAAATTAGTTTGGATTTGCTTGAGTTTTGACTGTCGACTGCCGATCGTCGGTAGGTGTTGGTCCCAGGTGAGATTGCCCGCAGAGACTTTGAAGGGAAATGCCGCCGACTATCGAGCATATTATTGAATGGGTTACTTTTGGGCTTAATCAAGTAACAACTAACAAGTAACAGGTAACCAGGGTGTTGTAATGGAAACACAGGTCACGGCATAAAAACAGCTAACAGAGTAGTTTAGAAATCGGTGAGAGATATTAGATAGAGAATTAAATCATTTTTGATACCCTTTAAGGGTCATTTTCGATGCTATCAATAAAACTTCTTTAGGAAAATATTAAATAAATAATATTCCTATAAAATATTTATATCCTATAAAAATATTTTAGCTCCCCCAAATTTTATAGTTCAAAAAATCAACATTTTCGAAATATGAATTAAAAGATATCACAATAAATTCAATATTAAAATATAAGTAATTTTCCACTCACCAAGTTTCTTATTTTCGCTTCCTTCTTCATCTTTGTCATTTTTCTTTTGGATTGGAAAATGTTCATTAATTGAATTACATATAAAAAACAACCATTTCTTATCACACACGAGATTCTTTCCATTTCCATCCTTTCCCTTTTTTAACTCACAGAATTAAACACATTTCATGTAATAATTATTTTAGCACTTAAAAAAAACACACACACACAATTAGATATATTTTTACTTCTGCGTTGACAACAAGAAACACTATTCATATATTTCTTAAACACTTAAAAAAAATAAAAAATTAGATATTGAAACATTTAATGTAACAATTATTTAAAACACTTAAAAAAAACAACAAAAATTGAAAGGAATGGAAATTACACACACGAACAACACACTACTGCTCTCTGGCATATTTCATTTTTACACTTTTATATTCGCTTGGTTTATTCACACAATTTTGTCCCACACATTGCATGCATATATTTTTTAATATTTGAAATAATTATTAATCACAAGAAAACAAACATTTTACATAATAATTATTTCAACACTGAAAAAAACACACACACAAAAGGTACACATCATGTATTAATTAAACACTTAAAAAAATAATATAGATATTGAAACATTTAATATAACAATTAGCAAAAAAAAGGATTTAAAAATTAAGATATATTTTCCCAAGTATTTTTTTTGTTAAGATTTAAAAAATATATATATATATAAATCCCCCAAATATTGTAGAAAATAATAAAAATGTGTACATTAAATATATAGAATAAATTAATTTTTCACTTACCGATTTTTTCATTATCGCTTCTTTCTTCTTCTTCTTCTTCTTCTTCTTCTTCTTCTTCTTCTTCATCATCATCTTTGTCTTTTCCTTTTTGCATTGGAAATTATTAATTAAAAAATTTAAATACACATCACTTTCAGTTCTGGCCACTCGCGAGATTTTGTCCATTTTCTTCCTTTCCCTTTTTTTTAACTCACAAAATTTAACACATTTTAAGTATTTACTTTATTTTTATATATTTAAAATTTTAACACTAAAAAAAACACACGCACATACACAATAAGATACATATTTAATCACTTGTGCGACAGACACACTTTTCATGTATTAATTAATTTAACACCTGAAAAAAAATAAAAAAAATAATATAGATATTGAAACATTTCATGTAGCAATTATTCAAACACTTAAAAAAAAAAAAAAACACATATTTATTTACTTTTGTGTTAACAGCAAAATAAAGGAAAGGAATGGATAAAACTGACACATTCAAAGAACGCACTAATGCTCTCTGGCATATTTCATCCTTGTACACCATTTTCCCCTTTTTCTATCCACGCACTCTAGTCCCGTAACATTTAAAGCTTTCCTTCTTTTTGGGAGAGAGGGAGAGAGAGGACACATGACGTGCACCCCCATACATCTGCATGGACCACATCACACACATACACACATATATGTACATACAGAACGAAGGGTACTGCTGCCTTCGCTTGGCCACGGGAGTCGCACATTTTTTTATTCCAATTTTTGTTTAATTCAATATTTAGTTGCAACATGTTTTAAAAGTGTATTCTTTTATTTATCACTTCCTACATAATTATGTAGTTATTTATTAACTTCACCTTGGCACTTGCACAATTTATAATTTTTTTTGCATTCCGCTTTCCACTGTCAGCATTCCAGTTGGAGAGAACCAACGATCACTTCACATTTTCATAAATCCTTTAAGCATTCACTTTGTTTATGTTTATTTCAGTGTCCCCGCATAATATTGAGTTAGTTTAACTAATTTAATTGTTTGTTACTAATTATTTAACGTTTTTTCCGCACTTAAAACGTTTTTTCCGCAGCCGCCAGCTTTAATTGCGTTCTCCTTTTACTCCTGCTAACTTCACTTTCCTCAGCAGCGTTCTGCTTTTACTCCTGCTAACTTCACTTTGCTCAGCGCAGCAGTACTCAATTTTCATTTTGGCAATTTCCATCTTCGCTCCTCTCTTCTCTTGATCAACGCTCTGACGCCTCTAGAAAATGTCCCACCCTTGCATACGGCAAGTTGGCGCACATACCTATATACATACATATGTGTGTATGTATGTAAATACAAACTGGCGGGAGCTGCTGCTATGATTGTGCGCGGGAGTCTTAACTTTTTGTTATTGCAATTTTAGTTTAATTAAATATTAACTTGCTTATTGTTTTTAAAGGTTCTTAGTTTCAGTATCACGTATTACATAAAATTGAGTTATTTATTAATTTCACCTCGGCAGTTGCACAATTTATGTTTTTTTCACATTTCGTTTCCTCTTTATCACTATTCTAGGTGGAAAAAACAGCGATCACTTCACATTTCCATATATTCTTTGAACATTCACTTGTTTCATGTCCCCGCATAATATTCAGTTAGATTAATTGATTTAATCGTTTTAGATATTATTTAACGTTTTTTCCGTACTTAAAACGTTTTTTCAACAGCCGCCAGCTTTAATTGCGTTATCCTTTTACTCCGGCTAACTTCACTTTGCTCAGCAGCGTTCTCCTTTAACTCCTGTTAACTTCACTTTGCTCAGCAGTCGTAGTACCCCACCGTCACTCCTCTCTTCTCTTGGTCCACGCTCTCGCGCCACTAGAAATTGTCCCACTCTTGCAACACCAAATTGGACCACACACACACACACACACGCACATAGAAATTGGCGGGTGCTGGTGTTGCCAGACAGTGTCCACGACAATCTCAAATGTTTTCATAGCGGGTTAACAAGTTTTATTTCAATTTTTATTTGCCAAATCCTTTGCAAATGTGTTTTTTATCACGTGTTTATTAATTATGTGTATCATTTTTACATTAGCTCAATTCCATTTTTTGATGCCACAATTCCAATTGAGAGGCGACACAGCAGTTACTTTCAGTCAAATGTTGAATATAGCATGTTTCAATGTTGAATTGATAAAACGCACTTGTTTTAATTAATTAATTGTTTTGTAGATATTAATACGCGGTTTTTCCGACAATAAATGTTTTTTAGCAGCAGCGCGCCTTAATTTAAATTCTGGC